ATCCCCTCGCGCTATCGGCTCTTTCACACCTCCCTCCCTTGGCTGGCTCGTTCGTTCGTTGGCTGGATGGCTTACACCCCCGGAGCTGCAAACCTTCGATCGCATTATGTCCGATTGAAAGTTCGCGAGGGACAACAGTTCGTACGACACCAAGCATCGTCGATCTGCTCGAAGTCTGTGCGTCGTTGGGACGCGGCTTTGTGGTGGGATTAAGTACTAAGCGCGAGAGAGAGAGAGAGAGAGAGAGAGAGAGAGAGAGAGAGAGAGAGAGAGAGAGAAGCACAACAGTAGCTCATAGGAACCAATTTGTCATATGAGCACGGGACAGATCGACGAATCGAGAGAGAAACCTGGAGGGTTTGAAAACAAAAAAAAATGAATCAAGAGCGAACCGTGAGAAAACGTATCCCTAGGGAAATACCAAGACAAACTTCTGAACAGAGGACACAATACGATAATAAATCGGAAAATGTATAGAAAACGCTAGATACCCGTCTGGTAATTTTAACTGGTAGAGCAAAGCTGCGGTACAGCTTTAATCAATATGATGGAATACGTTTAATCATGGTACTATACCAATGCAGGTATACGCTCTTGATTTTCGAGTATGAATCTCTGAAATGGATGAAATTGTTTGTTAGTCAATATGTAAAACATACAGATAATAATAAATACAGCCTTTAGACTCAAGTCTGGATGCACTAGAACCACAGTCGCATAACCCACGAGTAAAGCAACAATAAAGTGTCTCCTTTCAAGATACAGTATAAAATGTAGTTGTTTAAAGGGATAACGAAAAAAAAAGGGACGAGACAGAAGAAGACGAACGAGGAAATTGCGAGAAATAAATAAAAAAAAGTGAAATTATATGGCAATCAATAAAAAAAAAAAAAAAGATAGGGCGAGGGAGAAGGAATTCTCAACTAGCAGCGAGCGAACGTACCGCGTGAGCGAGCGAGAATATAATCGGCCGTGTGTGTCTAGTTTTACGTAAAAATGCCAATAAATAGCTAAATGCTCTATATAATGTAATAACGGTAATGGGCAACAACAACGACAACAGCAAGAACAGCTAATCTTGTAAGCATCCGTTGTAGGTTTGAATTGTCTTGCAAAGAGATATACGTTCATTTCGCGCATTCTATTTTTTTCTCTCTCTCACGGACATCCCATTCGATTTGAGATACGAGACAGCAATCGTAGTAAGGGGCGAAGGGAGGAAAGATAAAAATAAAAGTTAGGGATACAGGGTAAATGAATTTTAAGGTGTAGGCCATGAGAAAAATAATAAAATAGGGGTGGGTGCCCGCTTGGCCAAGGAACAACTAAATCAGGTATAAACAACAGGGTCTAGACGGTTGTGCGTACATTATGCACCTATGTAGTTCCAGTGCAGGGTAAACTCGAAAATATTTTTTTTTCTTCGTAAAGCATAGACAAATAAGAGGTGTTCCAAGATTTCAAATGACTGCGAGATTCAACCGGGACCGTTTTTTCTCTTCCTCGTTTCATTACGTATGCGTCCCTTTTTTGCTTTTTCTTCTCTTTTTCCCATTGTCACGCACGCACACTCGCACGCACACGCACGCGTGTTTATACAGAG